TGCCGTCTGTGTGAAGGCCATCAGATGGCGATAGCTGTGGTTAAAAAATAAATTAAAAATGGGCTCAGTGACTCATTTTAGCTCATACTGAACAAAAAATAAAAATAATAAGTATTTTTTGGAAACCTTGGCCATGTGTTTCAAATGTGAGGATTATTTGTGCCATGACATGTGTTGTTAGCCAATGAGTGTGTGGATATCTTGCAGCCAAAATGGTCATGGTGGAAAGGTCTGTAAAACATGACTTCAGAAACCAGTGGGTGGTGTCAAGCTAGCTACATCCATCTTCTATGCTGTGTGTTGACAGATATAGCTAACAACATAATAACCTCTTAGGTCAGTATGTCCCTCTGCTTGATCAAATCTAGCCTCAAACTTGTCATATATTCTCATATTTCCTGACAGTGCCAATCAGCAAAGCCCTTGGGATGAGGCTTGGGTAGACAGCGCCTCTTAGCTGATTTTTGTTTTTCTTCCTTTTTTGAATTTGAACTCACTCATCTGCCATTTAAATCAGTGCCTACAACCAACTGACTACCAAATGCTGTGTGACTGCTTGACTCTCAGCTGTATTTTTGGCTTTTTCTGGTTTAACCCTCAAGGCAGGCGTTGCAGATTTGCAACAAGTAAAAGCTAACAACCTGATTACCCCACATACATATTTTATGAGTTTTTTTTTTACTTAGAAGTACCACTGCAGGTATTCTTTTGTGCATTAGCAACAAAAACTTAATTTGAGCCTGAGAGGGTTAAATGTGTGTTTTAGGACTTTTCAGCTTTACTGCCCATTTCAAAAGTAGTCAAAACATAATAAACTACAATCATTTTTTCATCATTAGCTTGATGAAAAAATGTAAATACCTTACTTATAGCTATGTTACTTATTTCTTTTTTACAGCATAAATAGCAAGCTGTGATTTGAAAACTACAACTGGGAGTACAAACCATGTACTCCCTGCATCCATTACTCTCATTACTCAGTCCTTTTTGTCTCTGTCTTACAGTACTGTGGTATAAATGAGGCTTGTCAGGGTCTCTTAGAGTCGCTGACACTTTAAAGAAGTTGCATCTTACGTCACTTTACACTGCCAGCTAAACGCTCTTTTCCTGTTCTCTTTCTTCCCACTGTGGGCTGTTGTCTCTTTCTCCCCCTGTAGTTGTGTAATATTTAATATTCAGAACATTCAGACACAGTTCAGTGCTGTGGCTGCACAGGAGACATATTTAGTGACTGAGGAGAGCCCAGATGCATTGATATAAAGTGTTCTCTCCTTCACTTTTGAGGGGAGTGTCAGCTTGTCAAGCTTTGAGAAGGATTACTTTCTGACTTGTACTTCATTCTTTACCGGAGTCCTGTCATAGAGCTGTGTGATTAAGTTTAGCTTGAAATTTGTAAGGCAAGCAAAAAAAACACATAAAAATAATGCAAGCATAAAGATGACTCATGCATTTGTAGAGCAGCCTATATATATATATATTCGTGTTTATTTTCAACTATGTATATGTCACCGCTCTGTAGGGATGGGAATATTGCTGCATAGATTTTTAAACCCTTTTCATGCCAACTTATGTTGCAATTTCCTGACTGTTCCTCTAATATCCACTGCAGAGTCACGCTCTGGGCTTTTCTGAGATGACTTGACAAGTATTGAATGGATTAACATAGCATTTTAGTATTGATTTCCATGCATTTTTATTTTTATTTTATTTCCTGAATTACAATTAGCAGATTAGAACACCCACACCTAGTAAACAATGAACTGGCACCAATTCTTCACCCCACATCTGACTTTGGCTGTAGCATAAGTTTGGCATGTTTATAATTGTCCTGCTATAATGAAACTATCCTGTACTGTTCTTTCTTTTAGTTTAAATTAGTAATGTTAGCATTATGTAAAAAAAAAAAAAAGTGCATTTTGATGAGGATTATTTACATGGAGAATGCCTGACTGAGGTTTCAGCATAAATCCAGAAGTCACTGAGATTGAATGTGAGCTATTTAACCTGCACGTGACTCTTACACTGTCTGGTTCAAGCCCAAAGTGATCATTAAGTCAATAAAAGACACTTCAACTGCACTCCAACAACTGCTCTGTGAGCTCGGATATGGTCTGTGGAGTAATGACTGGTTCCCCTCTGGGACTAAAAACATTGTGAGACCTCACTAGAAGCCACTGATAGACATCCTGATCACTCAAGTGTAAAGAAACCAGATACAAGACCCTGCTGCACCCACTGGGACCTGTGGAGGACTGTACACAAGCTTTTTGTGTTGTTTTGCCACTGCTTGAAAGTTTTACCACAGCATTGTCTTTCTCTCTGGTTTAAACAGTGAATCTAGTTTTAATAGAAAAAAAACCTAGTGTGTGATTAATCCTTTAAGAGCGGCATCAAGCTTTTATTTTGGGATGTTCTCTGTGATTGCATAACAACATGCAGTGGTAAATCTTTTTTTTTTTTTGATGTAGCTATTTTCCCTCTATCTGTGATTTCACGCTGTTTTCAAGTATTTCAACAACTGGGATCTTTTTGCATTCCCTCAAAGGAAATACATAATAGCCTTGTAGCCAACATTGTGGACAAATATATTGTATCATGGCCACTTTTTGTTATGAGCTATTACTCACTCTTACTGCAGTGGTACACAAACATGAGTATGAATTTTATTATTCTACAAAAGCCTGATGATAATATAACAAGCAGCAGAGCTGGTACCGTAGGGCCAGTTCAGTTTGTATTTATCTCTTTTTTGCGCAGTTCGTAGCTTGAACACCTGCAAGTAAAAGAAATACTGTGAGAATTACATTCCTCACTGGCTTTCTGAGAAGAGCAGCACTTTTCATGGGCACCTTGGTGATTTTTAGTGCTGAATCGATCGCTGCCAGTTTACAGATTTAACAAATAATGTTCAAATCAATTAGGGGCAAAAATATCCAGAAGGATTCTTAGGCTTTTCTTCCTTGTCAGTGTTGCCAGTTTCTCACAAAGGATGCCACACAACTGCTGTAAACAGGCTGATTATTAAAGTTTCACTAATTTTCCTTTAAGTGTAAGTGCATTAGAGTAGCCTTATGCTACTATTTAGACTATTTGTATTTCTGTAGTGTTAATTCACTAATCTTCAGTTGTGTTTCCTTTGCTTGATAAAGGCTGCAGAGCATCAGCTGAATAATGGCGTGACACCAACACATGCATTTTTTTCAACATGTTGCGTTCTATTAAGATGACCCACAGGAGACTGCTCTGGATGCTCACTAAAATGCTACACAACAATCACTAAAACAATGGAGAAGTTGAAATCACAAAACAATAAGAGAAAAAAATTAAAAATATAGAACATGATTAAAACATAATTCTAAATATCTAAAGCTAACATCTTATACTGTTCACAGAATGACACTGGTGAAAAGGCTAAAGAGCAAAGGTGAGCTTTGAAAGCTATTAGAGAAGCAAACAACCTGACCTCAAATGTTTTAGTGTTTCAGAGCTGCAGCTGCGAGGCTGTAGAAACCAGTCTGGGACTATTAACAGCTGCTGATCAGCTGGTTTAAGCATTCAACAAGGGATATAAAACTGTAATATCTCTGCAAATACTCAAGGAAAAGCCCATGCAAGCATTTATATGTGAACTAAAGGTATTTAAAGTGAATCCTTTACCTCACAGGTAGCCAAAATAGGCAAAATATATGTTTACCAGATACTTAGGCATTCACTCTGTTGCAGCTGACTGTGCGAAGACTGCCTGTTATTCACAGACCTGCAATTTGTCAGCGGATCTCACGATTCACTGTACTCTGAGCATGGTCTGAAAGATGGCAACCTATCACTGCATCGTCCAAAAATTGGATACTCTGATCGAGACTAAACATGCGACTTTGTAGAAAACTCTATAAATGTTCTATATGATCTCATCTATATGCGCACATCTCAAAAGGGAAGCAGCTGGCAGAAAGACATCAAATTATCTCAGAAACACAGCAACACAAAGAAATATTATTTCACACGCGCGCGCACAAACACACGGAGTATGCGCACTCTCACAGAGCTGCCTTAAGTGTGTTTATCTTTGTTCCTATAGAGAGATGAAGAATACCATCTGTCATATTACCCATTTCACTTCTCACATATAACCGCCCTCACAACATGAGACGATATTACATCAAAGAAAGAGGCTTGACTGGGGAGGGCCGCTATATTCATTGGCATGGAGACATGCAATTGCATTTTAAAGTGCAGTAACAAATTCAGGATGAAAGCAAAGCCTTATCTTTGGTCTCATCTGCCAACCTGGTATGGATTGGATGGGGAAAGTGATTGGGCCTTCTGTTATAATTTAGTCTTCTCTTCAATCTTGGAACTTTGCTGCCACTCTCCGATAAAATCGCACGGGGCTGGGACCATGTTATTGATTGAAACATTAGCCTAAACATATTTTATGTCAGCACTTTTACCTTTAAATCAGTCTCTGTTCAGAGGATGTGCTTTATAATCTGGGTTATGTTCATCAAAGATTTTGATTTATTTTATGTTCTTTTATTTCCTTTGGACTTTTTTTTTTGTTCTTTGTAGCCTGCTAAGCCAAGGACATTGATGCTGTTATTTTGCCACAGTCAAAGAAACCTTTTTATAAATTTTCTTTCAGACTGCAAGGGAGTGAATCTATTACTGATGGAGGCGAGGAACGGAGAGGAATAGCATAATGATACGGTCACTTCCCACTTGATGTCATGGCAAACAGCACATTTACCACACATGGCACATCCCGGCGAGGCTTTGCTTTGTTCGTTTTGATACATTTTCAATCAAATCCTGGTGAGAGTGTAGAGAAACGCGCACATGAAGGATGCGCAAATATGAAATGACACGCATTTTTACAACCAGCTGAAGGCACGCTAGTGATGAACAGAACAGAATGACCAAAAAAAGGATCCATCCTGTAACTCGTAGATGTACAACAACATATGCAATCATTGGGCACGTTTTCTTTGCTTTCTCCGCAGAGTGAAGTTAAAAGAAGGCGTGACGTTCCTCGGCGCTCGCCCCAGCAACCCCACCCAGTGGATAGTTAGTCAAGATGTGAGGAGCGAAGGCCACCGAGTGGTGACTCTCCACTGCCGCAGGAAGGAGTCCAGCTATGATCAGCAAAGGTCAGCCCATAAAGTGCTTTTCTTTGAATGACTATATCGAGTTTGGGAGAATGGCCTCTTAGTGACTTGTAAACATCTTCATGACCTTCAATTATAAGACATTAAAGTAAGTTCCTCACTGATGACAGCTTTTTAGTATGTGTATTTATTTTTTTTAATGTGTTCATAACTACTGAACTCAACAGCCTGACTTCACATTAGCCGCTAAAAAGGTAGTTGTCACTTTTCGGATGTGCACAATTTGAGTTAGTAGCATCAGTTAGATGGCTTCAGTAGGCTTATCGCCAGAGTGATTTTTACTGTTGAATTAAAAAGTTGCTGATCATTCACATTTGGAAGGAGACACACACACACACTCACAGGCACCGTGTGAATGGTTATTTAAGCGATGTTCTCTTTGCTCAAATGACACACTTGACTTGACATAAAGGCCACGTCTGTTGACACAACTGTGGAGAGAGAAAAGTTAATCGACTAGTGCAGCATCCCCTCTTCCGTCTCTCTCTCTTTCCCTCGTGCTGTCGTTTTTATTTGCGTACTTACTCTCTCCACTAGCAGGCCTCAAAGTTGTTTTGGTCATTTCCCATCTGCATTCACATCCTTAAACTAATCTGGCAGATAGGAACGTGATTGCCAGCGCAAGAGGAGGGGGGGGGGGTAGAAAAAAGGTTGCCGCGTTAATTAAGTGCTGATTGAAGGCCTTTGTGCGTTTTAATAGTTTTTCCTTCTCGGATAAGGAAATAGTTTTAATAAATCTAACTTTCTAGTGACAGGTGTAATTTTATGGATTAGAGGCAGATGTGAAGCTGGGGAAGGCTTACTTATTCGCTCTTAAGCTTTCGTTCCACTTAGCAAATTCTAAACCACTCCCTTAAGAAAACAAGACTCCTGACATTGCAACTGCAACTTTATAATCAAAGTTGTGCAGGGGTTATTTAAGTGTAGAGCAGCCTGTGAAACATGTGTAATTTAAAGCTGCTGGTCCAGTGATTTATTTAGACATGTTACTATTAGTGGATCATTACAAGGAGTGATTGTAGGCTAACTGCAGTGTTACAGCACATAAAACAACACAGCTGCGCGTGCCGTTGAATAGTTGCACGTCTAAAATTAATAGATTTTAATAGATGTGTCATTGTGAATCTGCACAGCTACATATAAGCCAGGAGCTGAGTCATGCTGTGTCTGTTGCAGATGCTTATGCTCAGATTTCAGTGGCCTTTTTATGTGAGGATTTAATATTTTTGCTTCTCAGAACAGGCAGTACATTTTTGGACTTTATTAACAGCCAGTTTCATACATGAACTGCCCCAAGAACTCAAAGTCGCCTCCGCACTGAAAAAACTTTTCAGACGCTCCATTCAGTCGCATAATAAGGTTTGACAGCTCAGTCTTATCATTATGTTTGCGTCTGTCTGTTCCAGCCTATTTTTACTCACATAGAAATAATGGTGAGAATATCTTAGGCTAACATGTTTGTTATCATGACCGAATAAGATATTAAATGCACTCTGAGGCCGCTGAAAGCTGAAATTGATTTCTGTTTGGGAAGTTTTTTGTTGCTTTAAAGCAGGGTTCCCCAATCCCAGTCCACGAGGCCCGGTGTCCCTGCAGGTTTTAGATCTCACCCTGGGTCAACACACCTGAATCACATGATTAGTTCATTACCAGGCCTCTGGAGAACTTCAAGACAGTTGTTTATCTATTTAAATCAGCTGTGATGGATCAAGGACACATCTAAAACCTGCAGGGACACTGGCCCTCGTGGACTGGGATTGGGGACCCCTGCTTTAAAGCTTGTGAGATTTTAAAGGTGTTGGACTAGAGTTGATCTTACATCATATTTTGTTACAAACCTGAATACTAAAATGCATTTTAGATCTCTGTAGTACAGTTGTGATCAGGCTCATCACAGGCATGAGTGCTTTGCTAATTTGGGGCTTTTAATGATTTTTTTGAACTGAATGGAGCGACTTCACCAGTGGTCAGTATAAGAAAAGCAAAGATTATTCTGAACTTTGAGTCATACAAAGCTACTTTAGAAGTGTCCAAGAATAAGGAAGCTTTTAAAGGTAGCATGGGTACCAGATGAAACTCGGAGGTCATGTTTCATTTGTTCTGGCAGAATTCATCTGGACTCCTTCCGGTTTACACAAATGTTCTCACAGCTCTGCCTACAGTGCACAATGCCACACGTTTTTAAGATGACTTTTTATAGGTCTAATTATTGTAGGTCCAATAAGTATTTTGGTCTAAGGCTGTTACGGCGAGTGAGATGAGCCGTGTGGAAGAAATAAAGGAGGATCCAAATGCAGGCACTTGCAAAGGTGTGAGGGTGGTTTATTAAACACAAAATAAAAATGGGCAAACGGCAAAAGGAACAGAAGGCTATCTAAACTGAGAACAACTAAACTAGTGAACACAAACCCGGACATGAACATGAAGGAGGATGAGCAGCGGAGAATGACGACGGACAGCAGGGAAAACACACGAGTGAGACATGGTGGATACACAGACGGACCAGCAACTACAATGACAGAAGACACAACTTAAATACACACAAAGAAACACAGGGAGATTACACACAAGTGGTGGACACAGCCGGGAGTAATTAACGAGACGAGACAAGGGAGGTAAACTGAACACACTCACATGAGACGCAGACCTTCACAAAAAAACAGGAAACAAGAAAACACTGCACGAAGACGCAGACACGACACTGAGACAGACTAGACACTGAACTAAACCTGCAATAAACATGAGAACACAAAACCTACGAACTAATCCCTAAACAAGAATAACTAAAACATAGATTCATAATCATCATCATCATCATCATCATAATAAGAAGAAAAGAATCCAAAATGCAAAAACACACCAAAGCACAACAACTCATAATACTGGATCAAACTGACCCAGAACTGTGACAAAGGCTGTGGATGACACCCTTTAGAAGTCAAAACTGACCTGAGAGCTGGCACACTAATCTGCATTTGTCCGGTTATATGAGGCTAGCTTAAAGGTGTTTTTCTTCAAGGTCACTTCTCAACTTGAATTTCAGTTTTAAGTTTTTCAAAGTTTATCCAACTGCATGCTTCGCCTTAGAAACTCATATATTCATGCACCATATACACTTTGCTTTACTTATAGGTCTAAGCAGATCTACAGCAACAGCCTAAGTAGGACTGAGCAGCAACACTTGGCAGCTGGCTCCTCCTTGCCTCTGGAGCTATTTTCCTCCTTTAAGCAGGTTTTATTCTCTCCATGCTATTCCGCGACCTCACCGTCTCTCTCACCCACACATACACATTCTCCATTACAGTAGTAAAATCATGTTTTATTGATTTACTAAGTGAAGAAGCCAGAGACAAGAGTGAGCATATCTAGTCTAATCCCAGCTGTTTGGGCCATGTACATTGGGCTGCTCCTTAATCTCCACAGCTGTCAAAGTCACTTCACAGAGAAGACCAAAGAGGCCCCATGATGGCTATACAATGCACAATGCTCCAATTTTTCTTTCGTCTGGTCCTCCCCGCTCAGAGTGTTTTCAATGAAGCTCTTTTAAAAGGGGATTAAACATTGCTATCTCATCTGTTGAGCTGTCATTCAGTCTGCTTTGGTCTCTCCTCCGCTGCTTCCATGCAGAGGGGAGGATGAGGGATGTGAATGGTATAGGTCAAACAAGTGAGGATCCCATTTGCATTTTAAAGTTGTTTTTGAACAACAGGATGTATACACGATTATCTAAATATGAGTTAAGCACTCACTTGAGGATTTAGTTATTTACTTCTTCACTGCGACTCTGGAAAGCCATTCTTCTGTAAGAATAGAGTCTGTTTTCAATTGAAAATTTTCCTCATCTTTTAAAAGAAAATGTCCATAGGTTACAGTTAACGATGGAGCAAATTAGACCCACACTAATCAAAAATATGTTCCATTTACTCCTAAAGTGCTTAGACCAGTCTTACATCTCAAAAGTGTGGATTTCCTTGTACCCACAAGTTCACTGTACATATACAATTACAATAAAGGGTCATTCTATTCTATTTTATTCTATTCTATTCCTGTTTGCTACTATGTTATACTGCTGCACACTCAAAAGTCAGCAGAACATTGTCCTGTGCAATTTCCTGGACATTTTGAGTCATTCCTCTTTCCTGTACTGTGTGTCTGATTACACGTTGTTTTTACCATTAGGATGCAGCCCTGAAGTCACGTTCCTCATGACGACGTGTGGAAAACAGAATCATTTCTGAATAGAAGATAAATCTGAAAAGAATCTAATGGTTGACCAATTACTATGTTTGTGCATTCTCAAACATTTATGACAAGCATTCAAATTTTCCATTGAATTTAAAGGATTTTTTTTTAAATTTAGAAGAGTGTGCTCACCTGGCTCTGCAGCTCTTATTTAAATCAGTGCATTATGCTAACAAATACACAAGTTGTTAGTAAAATGCTCTCATGATTTTACCAATGTCGGGTTGTTGACTTCACAAACAGGCTGCAAAGGGACAAGGCAGGAACACAGACTTTTAATCATCGTTTTACATGCCATTTGTACAAATGAATAATTTGCACTGTCACTCTACCTTGGACTGCTTCCTAGACTTAAGTGTCTTTGAATAACGTCTGTGGAGCTGCTAATTGAAGCCTGTATGTATGTTTGCCGTGACGGTTGTCCAGATCCGATGTGTGCATGAAAGCACGACATTACAGACGGTGTGTCAGGTGTACACTATGTGCCGGTTCAGCCACTCGCTTTAAGCGGCTCGCCCTGGCCAGCTGAGTCCCTACTTTGTACACGTTCACACCTGATGCTCTGACCACACCTGACTCCCTGTGACTACACATGTAGGAAATACATGAAAAAAAAACTGCTTTCGCTCAACCCTCATTTTTTTGTATCATCATCTAATTGTTGTAAATCAAAAAATAGATAATATGATTTTTGAACTTCTTTTCCTAAGCTCAGACATGGGTCTACTGGTTTACACACT